GTATTTTACTATTATTTGGCCTAATAATATAATATTGTTTCAGCCTCATCATTTCTGGTTCTTTTCTCCACCTGACATATATTCTACATTCTTAGGGTTGTGAGATTTAGCAAGTAAAAATGCAAGATGCCCAGTTAAATTTGAATTTCAGAGAAACAAGTATTTTTAGTATGGTAGATTCCAAATATTGCATGAAACATACTTGTACTAAAAATTTCATTCGCTGATTATCAGAAATTCAAACTTAACTCATGTCCTATATGAATCTAGTTCTAGTATAGACTACTAGTTCTAGTATACAGTGGTTCTAGTTAAACCACTCTATACCAGAACTTCTCTGAAAATGGTATATTCTTTTATACTCTATGCTTTAGTTCCATGTGTCCTAAATTTTCTTCATGAAAAGACTGTCCAGAGCAAGTTATGACAAATATAGATTACTAAGTTCATCCCTTCAAGAGTTTAAAAAGTCTTCCATATGATTCCTACCAACAGGTAGATTTGTCAGGTATGGCCTTAATTCAGGTAATTTGTTTTCTTCAACCTGGAATGTCTTTGCACATCGACTATGCATCCTTTCAGGCCTAGTGGTGAGAAGTTGACCTTTGTCCTCACCTTCTTCCCTGGACAGATTTAATCCAGCTACTCTCAGAATGCCTGCTGCTATTCACAAACTTGAATTTCAGAGATTTTCAAAGTGTAAGTGTGTTTCCTCAGACTAGTAGCATTGGCATCACCTGAAAACTTGTTAGAAATGTAAATTTTCAGGCCTCACTCCAGAACTACTGAATCAGAAACTCTGGAGGTGGGGTCACGCAGGCTGTGCTTTGACAAGCCCCGTAGGTGAGTTTGATACATGCTCAAGTGTGAGGATCACTGCACTATAAATGACACCCATTATTTAAAGATACATATATATATATATGCATATATATACATAAAATAAACTTGTAGGTGAGATATATATATATATATGATTTTTGAAGGTTTTTTGTGTCTCTAATGAGATATATATATGTATATATATATGTATATTTATACACACACATATATACATATATCTCACCTACTAGTTTGCTTTTCTTAAATTCTTGATGGGTAGTGACTGCTTTGATTTCTCTTTGCATTTATTCTCTATGTGCCTGGCACATAGAAGGTGTTTAAAATTCTTCTTGAGTGAAAGATTTGGTGAATAAAGGAGTTAATAGATAATTAATTTTTCTTTTTTGAGTAAGCTACCTGGTGAAAGCCATGACCCAAAGGCCATTGTTTAAAGCTATGTGGATGATCAAGCTGCTGTGTGACCCCATTGCCTGGCACTGTAGCTCCAAGTTCCAACTCTTTTTACATTTTCTCAAGCTGTTATCTGCTTCCTCATCCTCAAATATGTTAGTTCTGTGACTGTAGAAGAATACAAAGAGTTGATATGGATTATTTTCACTGGTGATTTTAATGCTAATGTTAAAAAACATGTACGTGTGAAATATTTGACAGGACAATTATTCTGTAGGAAAAGTATTGAATTAGAGACCGTCCAACCAATGAATATGCAACTATGTGTAAGGATATGTTGTGAAAATTACATTTGACATATATATCCATCATTACCCAGTGCTGATGTAAACATTGCAATACTACATCTTTATGGTAGAATAAAAGTATGTGCCTTATACGAAACTCTCATGGAAGATGTCTGAGGACCAGTTCTCTAATTGTGGGAGGAACAGTGATTTTGTTTCTAAGCATAAATCACCTGAATTGCTAAATTCCCCGAAATGCAAATAAATCTGAATAATTATTTTCTAATTAAATTGATGTTTATGCATGTAGATTAATCTAGATACTATTGTAGCATCTCTAGCTGTAATACATGCCTATAAGTAAGAGTTAGATATACCTGAATATCCAGCAATCTTACATGGAGAAAAGTACAAAAGATTGGATGTACCTATTTATGTTCCTAAGATATTTGTTTCTTCCTCTTTGACTCATCTTCTATTTACTGCATTTAAATGATGCAATATGGTGAACCAATTAAACCAATTTTTTTCCCAAGTTAGATTTTCAGAGAATCAAATCAACCATTCTGTAAAGACAAAGTGATTTCCCAAAAATTTGTGGTAAAGCTCTATAAATGCTATAAAAATGGATGATGTTGCATGCCAAAAACACAGGAATGTGATGATTAAACTATAAATTAGAGTATTATAGTAAGTAGATCATGCAAATATTCATAACTAGTTACTGTAATACCATATTAAATTTACTAATGTGAATATTCAATTATAGGGTACCATATTCTTGTGTTTTAGACACTCAAAGTTCTTAGGTGTTCAGGTCATGTTGCAGATATGTTTTGTGAATTGTATTTATTTCTTCCTTTTTATATTCAGTGCCACAACTCTATTTCAGGCCAGTATTACCTTCACTGGTGATGACCACAGGAACCTCTTAACTTAATTCTTTGGTCCAGGTCTCTCATCTCCAGTCTAACCTATGCTTAGAACATTGCAGTTCTATCTAGATACTTCTATCTAGATCCTGAATCTAATGATAATCATAATGATAAAAGTAATTTGAGTCCATTAAATCAAATATAAATTCTTCAGCATGATGTTTGCAGGTTCTTATATCAAAATTTCTGGTTGTACAAATTCAAATCCTATACTGGAAATGTACACTCAAGCCAAATTGAGTTCGTTGACCCAGGAACATATTCTGTGCTTTTGTTTCTTTATGGGATTTGCTCAGGCTCGTCTTGTCACATGGTGTGCTCAGGCCAATAATCTTACCTCATCTTAAGTGCTATTTTAATGCAATGCACTCCTACTAGGTTTGGCTCTACTAGAAATCATCTCTCTACCCTCTGGATACCCCCTTTTGGACTCTGTACAAGTTCTGGCTTATATTTTAGTTATAGATGCCATAGATGTTTCTGTCTTGTGACTTGTTAAAAACTTCAGTTAATAAAAGACTCTATCAGTACTTATTGGATTAAATGTGTTGACCCTGTTGTCTGAGCCACTGTTTTTCAAATTTAGCTACATATTGAAATCTCTAGGGGAGTTCCCCAAAATACTGAGGCTGGGTTTCACTACAGGATATACTGATTTAAGTAGTCAGGCATGAAGTCAGGGCATTGAAACTTTAAACATCACTCTAGGTCATTCTAAAGTACAGCAAATTTTGGGAACCACTAGCTTTGTTACTCCTGGGATTATCCAAAATGTCTCTTAGAGTATGTTTTTTGACCATGGTTTCCTATGGCCACCTGGTTGGTGGATTTATCTCCATTCTACTTTGTGAAGAGATGTCCTCCTCATGAGCCAGTCGCAAAATGGGGCCTCCCCAGGTCAATTTCAACCTTATCTACAACTCAACTCTAAATAGCATAATTAGGAAGTGCTTATTTCAGGTTTAAAGATTAAAATATATTCCTCCAAATATCCTTGTAATCTGGTTGCTGATTTTGGGAAGCCCCACTTATTATAATTAAAACTTTACAAAAAAGGACAAGGTAATGTATACATCAGTTAGGTTTATGCTCAAAAACGATGTGCATATGTATACCTTATGTGATCTTCAAAGAAAGCATAAGTGAATCATAAGGAAGTGAATTTAAAAAAATAGTTGTAAGCAATTTAAAAAATGCATTGTCTTAAAATTTTCATTTAGAAAAGGATAGGCAGGGGAGAAAATCTATGCAGTTATTTTTCATCACTTATAATTTGCATTTGGACTTCTCTATACTTGCACCTTTCATCCTGATTTATGATGAAAAGGTGATGTATTGTACCTTAGGGACATAGTACTTATTTACAGTGTTTTCTTTCTTAAAACAATCTATAAAGCAGAGACAATAACACCTATGCTATTATGCAGGTATTATTTGAATTGTTAATAAAAATAATATTAATGGAGATAATTAATTGGAGTGTATTGGTTTGAACTGTTTGTTCTGGAGAGTTTGGGTTCCAAGCAATCCATGACAGTCTTTTACTCTTGCACTTTGAGGGACACCGGGTGTATATGAGATGACCAGATGGCTGTCGGCTTTTGTGCCAAAACATGGATGATGTTCCATCATCAGGAGAATCAAACTCATGCGATAAACTGGCTCCTGCCACCACTACATTTCTAAGCAAGAGATATTACAAATTTATGTGATATTGCTGAGTTTTGGGATCCTTGATTTTAACAGATAAAATACAAAACTGGGGACTGTGTATTTATATTTTATAAACGATTCATTGCATTTAAGCCCAAGGATATATCATAAAAATAACTTTTTCTTCATGATCCCTCTCTCAGCTCCAAATAACTCTCCATATCCTGGCAATTCTTTTTAATACCACTTACAATAGACTCTTCCTTTTTATTCTCATTTGTAGCCAGTCTCCTCTGGGTTCCTATCATCTCATCAGCTATTGCCTTCATCCTGGACAACCTGCTTTCCTGCCCTTGTATATTTCACTTTTTCTCCCAGACTGTTGTGCCCATCCTCCGCTCTATCTTTTAGAATCTTATAGGCTTCCCTGTGGATCGTTCATAATTCCTTCCTTAATTTCCTTGAATACTCAAGCTGCAGATTTCCTCAACAGATCATACATACCTCAAAGTCAGGAACTATGAATGGCTTAGTGGTATTTTCTTCAATGCCTCGCACAGAGACTGTTGTAGGTTCTCCTAAATATGTGGTGAGTAAATATACAATCCCACGCAATCTAGGGGTACTTCAGAAACCCATCCATAGCAAATCTTGATCCTAAAATGGGACTGAATTTCTAGTTCTATCTTTTTAAAGAGTAACACACTTTTGTAGACTTAGATATGGTAGGATTTTTCTGAAACTTTCCGATGTGTTTATTTATTTTTTAAAGCCAAACTAAACAAACAAACAAAAACCAAATAAAACAAAAATGTTTTAGTTGTTTAGTCCCTTCTTTAATAGTTTTATATTTGTTTTTAAAATTTTTCTCACTTACCTTTTTTTTTTTTAAAAAAAAAATCACCCTTGTCCTTAATGTTTTCTTTATGTTAGATCACATTCCTCTTTATTTTACTATCAAGATGTGTATAGCTCTAGGCTCTAGTATTTTAACTTATTGGAAAGGACAGTTATTATCAATAAACCTAAAATTTTTTATTTGTATGGGGCCTTATTCCTGTGTAACTGGCTACATAGGAAAATTCTAGAAAATAAAACAAAACAACAACAAAAGCTTCTGAATATGGGCTCTCAAAGATGGAGATTATTAAATAACTTACTTTTCATTAGGTCATAAGCAAACAAGTCAGAAGCTGGAGAAGTTATATTTTTCTTCATTGAACAGTGATTTATTGAATGTCTGCAAAGCAGACATAGAGTGCGTAGTTTTCCATGTCAGTTGCCATTTTAAAAATAAAATCAGTGGAGAATTTCAGCTTGAAGCACATATAAGTGACAATGAATAGTGTTTTGCTAAATTTGTATTTCATTCCTTTCTAGCCATGCTTATTTTTACCTAAAAGAGAATACATGTTTTAATGACGCTAAGGAAAAGTTACTTTAGAAATGATAAAAGTTGAACATATTTAAACAAAGGGAAAAAGCAGAATAAAATTAATGATTACAATACTAAAATTAGACAGGAAAATGGCTATTGAATAAGTCCAAACATTTCCATGAAAGACATAAAGGCAACCTTGTTGTTAAGAAAGCATATGGAAAACTATATAAAATGAAATGTTACTAAGACTTCTTTTGTCTCCTCATTATATGTCAATAATGAGGAAAGCTTTGCAATGACAAAGCTTTTGAAGTGAGTTGTGGAATGTTAAATAGTTTAAGTATATTTTTGGTATCAAGTGAATTTAAATATTTTGAATGTTGGTTATCTATGCATTATTTATAATGACACAACATTATTCATCAAAATATAGTCGACTTAGATACTGAAATATTTAACAGTATTGACTTTAGTGACTTAGAAGTGGTGCTGACAGCCCATGAACAATTATGCCCAGGCTTGAAGCTGTACAGTGTGCAGCCAAAGGGATGTGCTTTGTGAGTAATCTGTGGGTACTACTGAATAGTGGCTGGCTTACTTATTGTCTCCATATTCTGCAGCTCTCATATGGTGAGAAAAATGTTGGCTCAAGTATTTTTACAGATAATATTACTACAATAATGCAATGTAATGCAGTGAGAAATTTTAGGTAGAATTTATTTGACGTGATTATAAATTGCTTTAGATTTGAAGGTAATGTAATTATTAAGGGGTCTTAAAGTGCTATCTAAATCTTTTATTAATACTTTAGTAACATATTTGTCTAAGAGATACTTGTGAACGTAGGGATTCATAAAAATATCTCTCAGGAATGCTAAGACATTTTGTATTTGCTTCAGAATGCTTTATCTTAACCACGTAGAGATAATTGATATATATTATCGCAGTATTACTTTTAATGTGTGTATTCTTGAAGGTTTAAAGGATAAAAATTTACATTATACATTTTAGAGCACGTGATTCAATAAAAGACTAAAAAAGCATAGATTATGTTATTTTACATTGTGATGTTATAAGATGTTTTGTTTAGGAAGTTTAATTCGTAGCCTAGAAAAATCTTTCCCGAAAAGGTAGCACGCTTGAGGATCTCACTGAAATAAGAGGAATAAGTTGCATATTATGATATTCCTTGTGACATTTAATACTGTCAATAAAAAATGAAGGAAAGTCTGGTAAATTTAAGAATCACCTAGCTTTTACAGCATTTGAGGTTGTGATTTTAAAAGACCTTGTATATGACCCTAAGAACTACAGAATATACACATGTATAATTTATCACTATTTTAATATATAAATTATTTCTTATTATAACTAATGGAACTAGATTTCTTTTGTTAAACTAAAACGTCAAGACAGCCAGAAATGCTGTGTTTAACTTTGCCTAGTGGCACTGTGGTAAATACAACTTTGATGACATTGTTTTCCAAGTAGCTAAGATTTAATTGCTATTTTTCTTAAGATTTTTACCTTTAAGCTCTAGATAATAAGTTTCTTATGCAGAGCAATTCTGAGCAATTTAACTAAAATTATTGTATTTCAATGTGTCCAAATTATGAAAATAATGGTAACCAGAACAAATAAATATTTGGAACATAATTTTCCTTGACCAAGGTATGAGATTCATTTAATTATTAAATGTATGTTTACACATTCAGATCTATGGGAAATAACTTTATTTGTTTCTATTATAGTTAAGAAAAAACTAGTTTGCAGACTATTTTTTCACTTATCAACATAGAGGAAAGTTTTGATAATGGACCAAATTTAAGTGAATTGGAAACTTTGGAAGGACTTTTGGTTTTGGTTCTTAGTAAGATCCAAAATGGGTACTTTTAGAATATTTTCTTCTTGGTGAGATCTAAAATGGCTACACAGCAGTCTTCTATTTCACAGATTTTTTGGATGGAAATACAACTTAGGTAATTTTTTTTTTGATTTGACATTTTTGTCCAAAATTTGTTTTTAATCTTTCCTCGGTAAGGTAGCTTTAGTTGTGAAGCCCAAGGTACAGAACTACAGAGCAGAATGCTATAATGGCTTTGTTTGTAGTATTTTGGCATGATAAATGAAGCCGTTTTCATGAATGGGATGAACCTATATGTAATAGAGCATTTTAGAAAGAATATTCTTATGGGTAAAGACACCTGGAATTGGTGGTTTGCCATGAGGTTTGTAGTGTTAATACATCAAAATTTCATAATTTCATACATTTAGTCATCTTTCTTTGCTGTAGAAATTAGCAATTTGTCTAGCTAGGATTAAGAACAAGTGGGTTGTTTTAGAAAAAAAAAATGCTTAACTTTTACTTTAATTCCTACAATTTGCCTATACGTGGATGAAATCTGTTTCTCCCTAGGGGTTTTCTTTTCACTGATGCTAATGTTTCCATAAGTGACCTGCGTTTTAAAAACCTGAATTTAGCAGAAAATAATAGCAATGCCTTCCAGAGGAAAAGAAAACTTAAGTAAAATGCCAAATAATGGTAATTTTGTCACTTTCTATTTGCCTAGAATAATTAAACAAATAAATAAACAAACACACAAATGTATTTTTTCCTCCAAGAAAAGTGATAAGTGAAATGCACTTGGAATTTTTTCCGAAGTTATCCATAGATTATTTGCGCATCTTACCAGGTAGGCCACTGCCTCTTCTTAAAGTCAGATTACTTTCTTTCTGAGTCAATTTTTGTGTTCTGAGATATCTGTAGAGAGACAACTGACAACTGCCCTGAGAGATTTATATTAATGAATATTATGTTAACCAGAATGTGGGACTGCATAGAGGAGTGCTCATTTTACATTTTGCCTTGACTAATTTGATAAAGTGAATGAACATCAAGGAAAGATGATAAATAATATTGCTTTGTGGCTTTAAGATATTGCCATTTAATCAAAGATTGCACGCCATTTTGTCTTTAAATACCCTTATGAGGTAGCTTGAAGAGATCTCTGCCCTTTTCAATCTGTGACAGATCTACTAGTTAACAGCAAAACAGTCTATTACTGAAGAATATGCATAATTAACAGGAAAGTATAATAAAGTTGTTGCTTAAACTCTACTAAAACATTGGAATATTTGCATTGGCCAGTTTAAGGTCTAATTTATCAGTTCATAGCACAATTTTTTGTTTGCGAAAAAAGATGCCCAAATTTCCTTATTCTACTTGAAATAGATGTTGCAGACTGTACCAGGAGATGCAAGAATATGAGGGCCTGTTTTTTTTTTTTTTTTTCCAGCTCTGTACCAACAACCAGTGAATTCCTCAGATAAAATGATAGAAGGTATTTCAGTGTCCAGGGAGAGATTCTAGTAACCATATTACATTAGATAATTTAAATGCTCCCCATAACATACTGTAGACTGCCTCTACTGAGAATAAATTTATAAATTTATATAGCACTGAAAAGTTATACATTTTTATTCAATTCCACTCATCTTTCATCCATGAGAGACTCTCGTAGTTATTCCTAGGAAATTCTTCAATGCAATCTTTCAAAGCATTAGATCCGCCCCCCCACCCCCGACACTGATTTGATGGAGCCCTGTGGGTAACGTGCTTACTCTATAACTGTCTCAACAGAGGGAAAGAAAACCGCAATGCTCCTCTATCAGACCATGTCATTAGCTGTTGGGAAACCAGAGTCCAGTTACAAATGACTTCTAAAAACCTCAGCTCAGATAAGTACAATCACATCATACACAGCAGGAATCACACATCATCAGTGGTTGATTCCTACTCTGTTCCTTAAGTTTTCTTATGATTTTTAAGACTTCATAATTATCATGACCTGTGAGACTTTTCTTAAGGGAAATTTTCAAGCAGGGAAAAATAGTAGGAGCTGGCTTTCTATAATTTAAGAGTTACAGACCCACAAAATCTAGTCAATGATGAGAGCAACTCTGGGAATGAATGATACCTATCTGAGTGCTTAATTTAAGCTGCTTTTCAGAGTCTCCCTAGCTTTTCACTTTTAACAAAGAGTCCATGGCTCTTCCTTTGTGCTTAGAAATTCAGATGCACCTCCCACAGCAAAGATTAGGTTGTGAATTTGACAAACAAGAACACAGTCTTCAAGTGTGATGTATTTGCCTATGACAATCGCTAGCAGCTGACAATCTGTAGTTTTGTGACACCACACGATTCTTTCTGCTGTACTGTATTCTAAATCACAGAATATGTGGTATTATTCCACTGGTTCTATCACACCTACTTACAGACATCTTGATTTCTGAGATGTGGGCTCCTCTCTCAATAATCTTCCAGTCTCATTTCAAATGTTGCCTGATCTAACTCCACAGCACTTCAGACACAGAACACCACTTCTTGTGCTCCTAAGTAAAATATGATGGTGCATGAACCTTGATCCTTTAGTTGAGAAGTCAAGGTAATTTACTGCTACTATACCCATACACAGTCTCTACCCTGATGGATCTCATGCAATGAGGCTTCGTTGCTTTCACTTACGATGTTGCTGCTTTCATTTGGGTTAATATCATTGCAGGCAAAGTAGTAAAAAATTTGATTTTTCCCTATACAATATATCTGTAGATCATTGCTTAAAAATATTAGTGTAAAGGTCTGCACCACAGTGATGATGTTCAATTTTATATTGAGATTGAAGATGGGGAGATATCAAGGGCATACCAATTCAGCCATAAATATGTTTTGTGTCAATGTTATAAAGTTGTTATAAAATTTTGGTAATCCAGAAAAAGCTAAACCTTTTTTTTTTTTTAAAGGGAAGAAAAGTGCTTCTGAGGCTTTTTAAAAATAAGTAACAGTTTTCAGATTCATTTTTTGCAAAGGTTGCTAATACCATTCGCAGACACCAGCAAACCAGACTGAACAGAAAGATTCCTCTGGTAGGATGCCGAGCAAATCATTGAATTCTCCAATCTCTAAGAGACAGTATCTAAATGCCATTCTCAAGGCATTATATTCCCTGATTCACCATAAGATTAGCAAAGACAAGACAAAAAAAGTATATTTATTTACTAACCAATACAGAATATGGTAGGCCCTTTACCTGGAAGCCAGATTTGGCTTCTGGGATTTTCCAAAGGCCATTCTAGAAGAGGTGGCTGCTACTGATACCCAGGGAAGGCAATTCTTAAATTGCTTACCTTGGAATGGAACTTTCTGTGGACTTTAGGCCCTTGGGACCAAAAGCCATGAGGCATTTATGGATAGATGATGCAAGAATTTTAATAAAAGTTGCAATAACTCTGAAAATTGTGTCTTTAATAATCTACATACTATTAATAACGATGCATGCATAGTGCCGTGCATTCATAACTATTTGGTCATAAAAATATGTGACTGTAATTATGATATTTATAGTCAACTTATAAAAATACATGTAATTCTGAATGGCAATAGTTAATCCCTAGCTCTAACCACAAGCCAAGAAGGATTAGCTTATTATGGGAAAGTGCAATAGATAATTACAAAATGGACAAAGCTTTTACTCTCTTGAATTCAACATTCAAGAAGAACTATAATAGCATCATAAAACTTCACTTGTCATCATTATTCCTCTCACCTCACAAGGTAAAAAATCTAAATTCTGTGGAAATAAATGGGAAAGAGCGACTAACATGATACAATGACAGAGGAGAATAGTTCTTTCATAGAATACTTATGCACAACCTTCAAAGAGGTTTATAGTCACTGCAAGAATTCATGGGAAAATATCTAAACATAACTTTCATTAAAAAGAATTAAGCCTGGTCTAACATATGATTACCTTTAACCATAAGGAGTTAAGAATCTAACTTTTAGTTGATCTCTTTATGTAATTTAGGTGAATACCTTTTTGAAGTTTATAACATCAAAGAGAGTGGAACTCACATGATACGTTCTAATTCAAATTTAAATTCTGATGGAAGGAAATAAATCCACATTCCAGTTTAAATACAGAAAAGGAGTGTTTTTTTCAAACTTCTTACTTTAAGGCCATACATATTTCAATTAAATAAAATATTACACAAAGCTGACATATTTCCCACACATTTCTCCTCTTCTAGGAGTTGACTGGTCATCTGCTGACAATAGATAAGTTCCTAATTTGAATGGCATTAGTACTTTACAAATGAACAAAATAATGAGTGTAAACTTGAAAAACTAGAGAGAGGTGCACACAAACTACCAAAAAAGTTGAGATTGGGGGTGACCTGCAAATCATGATCTCTTATCTTGGGATGTATCTTAGCATTCAGGAAATGGAATTCTTGAAAATATCTGTTTCACAGTGAGGTGTGGAGGTCAGATGATGCTCTGTTAGATTCTTCTTAGTATTAAATTACTTCTTCCTAGGACTGAATTAAGGCATTTTAGGTGGTATATTAACTCTTCCAGAACAAAGGATTCCATTTCAGTAAATTATTGCTACAGTTCACTAAAGAGAACTACTGTGTCCTGGAAAAGATAATGTTCCTTCCAAAATGCCCTCTAGTCACTCAAACAATGAGAAATTCATATTTGTCTTAGACACTTTGATTCTTGAAGACATACACTAAAAAAAAAAAAGAACCATTTTTCCCTATCCAAATAGAGACTATCTGAATGGAAACGTAACATTAGCACTGCCTGGTCGTTTTGCAGGATATGCCATTTCCTCCACATGCGTTTGACAACCGTTGTGTTTGATTCTTTCTCTGTAAATCAGGCTGTCAATCTTCTTTGCATGCGGAATGGTCTATAGGAACCAACAAAAAACTAACCCAATAGCCAGTCTTTTAAAAAATAGGTGAATGAGTGGAGCGTGGCACACAATGGGAAGAAAAGGAATGATAGATAATGAACTTTCTAAGCAATTATCTCCCATGTTTTGCAAGGGATGCCAAAAAATAGAATCTTTACAAATGATGGGTAATCTGTAAGAGGAATTCTCCATCTCCCGGTACCCCCACCGCAAAACCCTCACCCCCCAAAAAATCAAAACCCAAACCAAAAATCTCAGAAACTTCTATTACAGATATGAGATCATGGTCTGGAGGCTACTCATACCAAATACCAGTTCATTCTAGCACAGCAGTTCTTGAGGCCAAAGGCTAGCGATATTTGTGACATGATTTTACAAATAACATAAAAACAATAACCCTCTGGTTATGAAATCTATAGATATTACACTCAAATTGACACAATGGAGAAGACATAGATCATTTCCTGTTGAAACCCAATTACCTCAAGGCAAAACAAAGCAAACTCCATTTAATAAATAAAATGCTGCTTAAATGTTTTCATTTTAGGGACTATTCCCTTTCCCTTTTATATTCTGGAAAGCTATATGTCTAAGTACACTTGTTTTGTAACTTCATTAGTTTACCAACTTCATTTCCAGAGACGATAACAAGAATGAAATGGTTTGTTTCTTTTTTCTGAGCATAATTGAGTCAAGGAGTTTCATTATTTTAGATATTATTAATTTGATTAAAATATAGAAACAAAGTTGATGGGAAACGGTAGCTTTCTTCTAGGTAAAAGAGCTTACTAGCAGATTTTGTAATCACTGGACATTTATTCTGTCCTACCTGGAAATAAATTATGTTACTGCTTGGCATGGGAAAAGGCATTTTCTAGTAATTTTCTGTGACAGGAAGCACAGCGTTAGTCCAAGCAAGCACCCAACGGGCTGAGTCCATCTGCTTGGGAGTAGTTTTAAACTTTAAGTTAAGGAAAACATTTACCTCAGTACTTTTGTTTGAGAAAGAATTCAGCAGCAGTTACAGTTAATATGCCACCTGTGGAGAGCTGTGATTACCCTAGGAGAGGCCAGCTGAGGAGCACTTTCCAGGGAGCAAGAGCAATGCTATTGTAAGAAGCTACAAAATGATACTGCAGTAGGTACAGTGACCACCACTATGGTGATCATGGCCTGGATTATGTTCCAAATACTAATGCAAGGAATATACTAGAGTTTATAGGATTAGAATATTTTCCTTACACTAAGAACCAGTAGATGGCGTGTGATGAGTGGGTATGGCCCACTTTACTCTATTTCACTCTACGAGTGTCCCTAGTTATGTCTCCTTTCTCCTATGTTAATTATTCATATTCCATGGCAGTTATTTTCCCTATCTAAAATAAGAATGGCATAACTATGGAATACCCCAACTCACATACACATACTTGTGCACCTTTAGACACATGTATGGATAGTCTGTGTAAAGCGCTCATTTGCAGTTGGGTGAACTCACTGAAAACAGCCATATCTGCCTTCCAAATACAGTAAAAGCCAATGATAATTCATATCAACTGTTTATTTCTAATATGAAACTGTAAACCTTGTCCATGTAGTAATTAATTCAAATGCCTTTTGTGTTTTTTTGCTAAGTCATCCAAAGCAAAAGTCTAGATGACTGATGATGACATGATATGCATAATCTAATGAACTCACATCTGTTTATTTTGCTCATCCCACAGTTGAATGACACTTACTGCTGAGACACTTGGGTTGATTTAGAATGGCTATTAATGAGTCTATATATTTGGCTAAGGTTGATTTGACCTTCTAGGGAAAGACCATCCTATCTGCAAATGGACACCTCCCTCCACATAAACGTCAATGTACACTAAAGACAAATCTAAGTATATGTATATATGGGATATATACATATATATGTACACATAAAGTGGATTGGGAAGTCCTTTGGTTTAGACAGTATTAAATATGTACTTCCCAAGTGCATAGGTTTCCTTTGACCAACCTGTTCAAAAAACAAACATGAAAAGTGCCTTGGCAATTTTGACATTTCCTATGTCTTTCCCCCGATTTGAAGGACACCTTTCTTTGCTTCTCCATTGCTCCTAAGCATTTTATTTTTAAAAGCAGTTGGTTCTTTTGGCCTGCTATCTTAACACTCCATTGATTCGTCCATTCCTTGGAAGTACTCTCAGGTTACATGCAGAAACTTGTTTTCAGCAGAGAACAAGATTGCAAAGAACTTTTCCCTTCTTTTTTTTTCCCTCTTCCCCCCAAGAAGCAGACACCCTGACATGTCATGAATAATGCATTCTTGGTCTGACTTGCCTTGTTACCCCTGGCCAGCCCAAGCAGCTGAGGTCTGAGCTTTACTTGCCCTGCATCGTTGTGCAATACTGGAAAAGAAAAATAATCCATTGGTCTATACCCCTCAGACTGTGGTGACATGATCAGGGTTCTCTTGAATTTCTATGCATTCAATTTCCTCTCTTTCCTTTCGCTTGGCACGTTTCTTTTTCTTGTGGTGCTTTTTGGAAGGGGGGAAAAACGTTAGGAACACAGGTAAAATAACAAAACAGTGCAGAAGTGTGCAACCCCCAGTGAGCAGCAAGCATTTGAACAGTGTGAAGGTCAGGTTCGAAGGCACAAATAGAAGGGGGACTAACCCAATAAGAAAAGAAGTAACATTTTGCAAAATGGCTGTCCCATGCTCTTGCAGGGAGCTTTTTATACATTGTGTTCGGGTGTGCTCAGTTGCTAGTACAAATGTGTAAAGCAGTGGTGCACAGTGGTCAATGGCGAAATTCAAGGTGTAGATAAGGCACAAGATAGAAATGCAATCCATGTCGACGTTCCATAAGGTCATTAGGCCCAGAACGCCCAGCTCAATTGAGGTGACGCTAAGAATTAGCCAGAAGTTTCCCAGAGGGTGGATCACTAGGAAAAAAGTCAGGATTAACACCAGGAGAACACCAAAGCCTGCAATCAGAACAGGCACTGTGACAGACAAGCTGTAATGGTCCATGAAGACAAAGGAGGGGTTGAACACGATGAATCGGATGCTCTTTGAGAGGGATAGGGGCCTTAGCTTTTCCAACACTTCTATGACTTCCTTCTGCTTGTCTCTGCTAGTCCTGGCCACCAGATACAAGCGAGAAGCAATGATGTTGTTTTCATCCCCTGCCTTGGAGAAGATGATATCATTTCGAAAATGCTGGAACTCTGGCTTTTTTAAAAATGAGCTTTGCAGGACACTAATGAAGTCACTTTTGTTATTGGCACTGATGTTGCTGGCCTTCAGGAACTGATAGTACTGCTCCACCCAGGAGACTGCAGTGAATCCACTACAGAGTCTTCTTAGGTCCTCCTGGACGCTGCTGTTCCAGTACTCTAGGGGCTCATATACATAGAATCCTATTACAGGGCTATAGTTGCTGAAATATTTCTGCTGAACCATGGCATAGGAAACGCTTGGTGAATCACTGGCTAGTAGATTGATGATGTTGGCTCCGTCACTGATCTGTAAGCACCCCATGAAGGAGAAGGAAGCATAAATGAGATAGAGGATGACGACAAATGGCTTCACATATATGTTGGTAATCCATTCATTGTAATGTTCACGGAGGAAGTGCTGAATGAAGTGGTGCTGATAGGGGTTCGTCTCATGATGGGAGGTCTGTTGATGCCCATCACTCATCACTGTCTGGAACCACACAGGTTTGCGATCCAGGTATTCTGCAGAAGGGATCTTACAGCAAAAGATGCTGTGGTAGCGGTTTTGCTCTAGTTGGCCAGCAAAGACCAGACAGGAGCCAAAGAAGGAGAAAATGTAGAAGTAGTTCAACAGAATGGAGACACACATGTTTTGACAGAAGACCTTCACAGCCTCGATGTTTGTGAATGGACTGGCACCCATGCCAAACGTGATGAAGTACAGGGAGCTGGTCATGGTATAGGTGACCATCACATCAGAATAGGCGTCTGCTATCCTGTCTTTGAAGGGCAAGTTCTCTTTGGTTCTCCGCCATCCAGACAGAAGCTCAAACACTCCTTTAGTTCCATGACCTAATGTTTAAAAAAAGAAAAGAATAATTATTTTTACTTCCTCCTATGGCTCAGGTGAATTCTTTATAGTTTATCTATGCTAAATAGCATTTTATACTCTAATGTTAAAAGGACTGTGATCCTTCTATCAGGGTCTCAAAAGTTGACTTACATATAGGATACATTCTGTCCCTGTTTCGCTTTAGCAAAGCCCAAATTTGTTGATATTCTGGGAAAACTGAAATATTTATTGTCCAGTCCATGAATGTGACAAGTTGTAAATATAATGTTACATTATTACATGATTTTTTCCCCCTGTAAACATAGTGTCTTCCTAAATGGACAGTAAGTTGTAGAGGGCAAGGGCTGTTATTTGTGCACCTTCAAATGTCCCTTAACATCATGGCAAGTGCTTGGCTAACTGAATCATTGACTGACAGTTCCTAACTTTCATTTCAAGCTGATTTATATGCTGATTTAGGAAATTACGAAAGTATGTTAAACACTTAAAAATGGCTCTAAATTGATTTTGTAACGTTGATAATCTGCTTGGTGGCCAAATGGCTTAGAAGCCAATTTTCAGAGATTTGATTAATTAACTCTGGATGTGAGTCAAAAAAGAAAAAAATTTTCAGGTCACATAAAAGACCCAGAGCAAGACCTTCAGGGTGAAAAATCTTGGCAAGCACTTCCTTGGGGCTCCTCATAGAGCTTTGACTCAGGTGAGATGGATGCTGACTAAATGCTTTTGACAGTTTCATTAAAGTGAATGAAGAATGCTTATTTTAAACCAACATTTGTGTACCTTTTGATAAGAGTAAGTAAGCAAAATGCTTATTCAGGACATATTACTTGAACACCCACTGTGCGCCAGACTCTGATAGCTACTGAGTTGCAATTTTGAGGAATTTCGCAGCGCTTAAGATACTAACACTTTCTTACTAGCAAAAGAAGAAAGCAGCTGGGAAAACAAAGGTATTGTGCCATATTTGCAGTTTCCCCTTTTTTCACTTCCCTGAATTGGACCTGTCAATGACCATACACAATATATCAATTGGTAGATTTCTGAGTGAGTGGAAATCTTCATAGATCACTCTTGCCCTTGTGGGCATAGCAATACTACACAGGAACATTTTCTGTGAATGGATGCAAGCTGTGCTTGGGCTGTTCTCCAAGAAATCCATTAGACAAAGACATAGCTGAAAGGTCATTTACTGGTCAAAATGACCTAGTTCATGAAAACCTGGAAAATGGACTTTTGTGTGGCACTTAGATATTTGAGTTAGGTGTTACAGACTCAGTTTACTTAGTAGTGCTTTAACAAAGATATGATAGCTGGGGTCTTACTGCAATTGCTCTGAATTTGCACTGCTGAGAGCTTTTGCTAGCTGACCTATATAACTCTTCTCTCTTTTATTTGAGACTACAATATACACACTTAAAAATATTATTTCCTAGCCTAGTTTTCAACTAGAGGTGGTGAACCATGTGATAGTTCTGGACAATGCAATATAACTGAAAGTCATTTAAGGATGCTTGTTAGAAATCCAGAGGGCACTTTGTTGGAAATGGCATAATGAAGCCACCACTAAGAGTCTTTGTCTGCCTCCTTTTGAAATTCTCTTTTTAAAAAACCAAATCTCCATTCTGCTAAGCCATTGTAGGTAAGGCTGTTACATGCAGCTGAATCTATTCCTAACCAACGTTTCATAGGTGAGTTAACATTTACCAAAATCTCTTTTATGATGACCTAAGGATTCTTGCTTCATAGATAATTTGACTTTAGTGTTTACAGACTTAAATGTATATGATGCAAATGTCTGACTTTTAAAGACACATTGGCCAACCTCTTGGTAGTTTCTATTAATTATTAATGGTTACTAAATGAAGCTAGGCATTGGAATTCTTTTTACCTCAAATATGAAGCCTATTTATTCTTCAAAGCTGTCTCTTATGGGTCTCCAATCAGGAAAGATAAGTGTATCCTAACAAGTAGAAAGGGTCATGTAACCTGCATTTAGGTGGAAGTCATTTTTTTTTTTTCATTTGGAAGTAATGAACTGTTCCTTCTTGCATTTTATCGTGAGCTCAACATATGTGTATTAAATTTAGTCTAATGATTCTTAGCAATGCTAATCGTTCATTCCTATCTTCTGCAAAACTCCTTGAAGAGACAGAATACAGTTCTTGCTCTATTAATCCCTTGACTAAAATATAATGTTAGAATAAAGGTTAAGGTAATTAAAATAATTCTTTAACGGGAGCACCTCTCTTCAGAAATGAGGACTTCTGCTATCTTAGTAGTCACAAGGGAAAGGCTATATGGAGCTACAGCTAAATTTGGCTTGCCTTTGATAGTGGTCATTTTTTTGTGACCTAATGTGGAACATTAGGTACACTATGTAGGCCAGATTTTTGCTTTATGTAGTACAAAGGTCTGTAGGTGTAGGACGATGATACTAAAGCATATTAGATTAGGTAATCACTTTAAATGTGGTCAAGACTGAAAACACAATTTTCAAACTTTATTTGGAGATAGCATGTTTTACCCCACTCATATGTTTAAATATTTTACAGGATTTCCTACTGATATTCACTCATTTGACTGTCACAGTAATCTGGCCATTTACTAGCAGTTCAAATTTATTGCCTGCTCCAACCAAGGTAATTGTCTTTCACTGCCCTGTGTGCATGTTCCTGATTAGTCTTATCTTCTTAGCTTTCCTTATGTTATTTTTGTCCCTTAAAATACTTTCCTCTAATTCTGGTCATATTAAAATTCTATTCATTGGTCTGTTAAGGGTCAGTTCAATTCTCCTCTTTGCCATGAATCCATTTGTAATGATCCCAGTCGTGTAGATATATTTTAGTTCCTTAAATTTTTATTGTACTAATTAGTCATTCATTTTGGCCCTCAACCATATGCTGTTTTGCCCTGGAATTAAACGGTTTTTCCAAGATATGGTCTATCTCTTTGTTAGATTACAAATTCTTCAAGGCTAGGGAATGCATTTTATCTTACTTTTATACAATGCAGAACATCTGATAAAATGATAGATGCCCAAAAGATGCCCATTAGCCTCTCATTGAATTAAATGAACTGTAATTCTTGATTCTAGATGGCTCCAAAAATGAATCTTTTTATTACTTATTATAAAATTCATTACACATCTTTATACCTATATAAATATCAATTGTATCCAGAAGAGCTACACACTATTTACTTTCATTCAACCCAATATATACTTATTTAGAGTTTGTTATATAAGAACTTTTGGTAACCAGTATATAAGACATAAAGATAAACATGAAACACAATCTTTTTCAACAACTGTCAGTCCAGAAGGTAATTTTCACTTAAGTAATTCTGAAACCAAGATTATAGCATCTAAGAAACTGCTTTAAAAATAGGGCTATATACCTAAAAAATTATAATGTCACTTGTAACAAAGTCATCAATACTTCTCTAAAAATAAACAAGCAAGAGCATGAATTAAGAAGAGAACATGTCAGAGTGATTTTTCTTTTTGTAGTTATTACTTCTATTGTCATAGAACGAGAAAATATACTATTGTGAAAACAGCTTAATTATTTTAAGCTCTTGCTAATGCATATAGAATGTCTATATTAAAATGCTAGATATTATTGGGATTTCAGACTTAAAAATAACTGTTAATCTGAAATAACCATGTATAGTATCAGTAAAATTAATCATTTATAGAGATAAAAATTTAATAAAGCTTTTATTTGTTTAATCCTGGTTTCCCAACCTGGCACTATTGACACTTTGGGATGGATAATTTTTTGTTGTCTGGGACTGCCATGAACATTAGAGGATGTTTAGCACCATTCTGCTACCAACTAGATGCCAGTTGCACAGCCCACAGTTGTAACAACCAAATATCTCTTCAGACATTGCCAAATGTTGCCTGTGGGGCAAATTTGGCCTCAGTTGAAAATTACTGGTTTAGTCAAAAGAAAAAGAAATAGTATACACACTCATACACACACATACTTAATTATCTGTTTCTGATTTTAAAATCAGGACACATTTCCATAGAACATTTTGGGAAGATGAAAAACAGTGGTGAAACAAATTATTCCATACCCCGCTACACAGAAAACTGCTAGTAACAACTTCAAGCATTTATTCCAGTCATTTGTTTTTTTATCTTCCAAGCGGATGTATGTATATGTGTATGTATGTATATATATATTTATCTATGTATCTATCTAGCCATCTTTTCAGATTGGTAACTACCTATATAACTAATTCAAAGAACTGGGTTGCAACCAGCTGAAAATTAGGATTTGGAATTACTCTTGCTACTCTATCCAGCAGGCCAGTCAATCATGGAGAACCTGTTTTCCAACCTCTGCAGTGTTTTCTGTCTTGGTTTCTTACTTTTTACTTTGGTTTTCTGAGGCTGGAGCTGTTTTTTGAGCATCTGCTCACTTGAAAGAAGCCCCAACTTTCTCTTTAGCTTTTCTTAATAGTATCTTATTCCCTGCAGTTCCACCCTTACTCATAGAGTCTTAATCCAACTCAAATAATGCACCTCAAACTGATACACCAGTGTTCACCCCAAAGACACTGGTGACCCATCAATGCGGATGATGATGCATGGATCAAATGTAAATGTGACTCGTCCCACTGAATGACGATGAAACCATATTATATTACTTCCCAGTACCCAGCCTTGACTGTTCTTTGCATCTGTCCCAATTTCCCACCAAAATCCTTAACTCTCACCTGAGGCCACAGCTTGTTTTAAGAACATCTCCATTCAAGTTCTGGACTCATTTTACATGCATTTAGCTAACATATAAAGAGGGATTTTGTTCTTACTAAGTAGGGCTGTATGCTGTGCACTATGAAAATGCAGCTGATTCTCCCTGAGGAATCAGGGAAAGCTTCAGAAGGTTTAGGCAGAAGATGATGCTAATGACAGCCTAGGCTGGTGGGATAACATGAATAGAGACACAAACACTTGTAAACTACAAAAATATAGTTGTGTATT